TAATTGTGTGAAGTATTAGGTAGAAGCTTGGTAGTTCTTAGGCAAAATGAAAAGTGACATTGATAATTAGAGTCTGGAGGGTATCTACACTCTCTTGTGTCCACTCCTTCAGCCTGTATCAGTCACTACTAGCCGTCTCGTAAACGTACCATCAACTGTACATCCATCCATATTATGGTACTATACTCTATTCCGTTTGCAAGCGTACCGTAACCTTGGTTACGGATGCGTCACAGATTGGGTACAAACACATATGTTTAAATAATCACACGAATTTGGTCGCCTAGCCAGTAGTGCTTCCTGGTACCTATACTTGGCACAGATATAATGAATCATCCAAAGAGTATTCTTTACATGCACTATTGTTGGTGGTGGGGCCCCCGACTTGGGGGCCCTTCCTTTAGCAATTGATCCGCCTGGTTGAGCACAAATGTGGTCAGCAGATTTGTCGTTACGGTCTAGCCTTTGGTTTCACGGAATTCTTGTCGATACCCCCAAACTCCGCCAGATACTCTCTGCAAAGCATATTGTCGTTATTGATAACCGGCTCAGTTGGTATTGCAATTTAAGATGCTCATTTGCATTTTTGCTCTTTGATATTCACTTTATCGAAGACAATCAAACTACTCATGCGACTGAGCAGCGTCTTCCTTATCGCAGCGATCACCCTTATTACAGGAAGCCATGGGCTCCCAGCTACTACACCCAACAATCAAGTCCAGTTACTAGCCGTTTCCGAACCGGATACGGCTTCCTCTGTCCGCTCACGTCTCAGCGAGAGCGATGGTGACGGTGCAAACAAGCTTCGTGGTGCTGATAATACGGAAGGGCAAGATGAGGAGAGAGGAATTTTCTCGAATGCGAAGCTCAAGCTCCTCCTGAATCTAGGGTTTAAACCTCAGACAGCAAACAAGTACCTATCCAAGAGACAAACTGAAGCATACTACAAAATGTGGCATAGCAAAATAGCACCAAAGGTGGCAGCCAAGCTGGCAGCCAAATCAAAGGCTTGACGTGTGTTGTAGCACACCGATAAAAACTCTGCTCCAACGTCCGTTCGAAAAAAAAAAAATCGCGGTCGACCCTACAATGAGGAAGGATAAGCTACACGAATAGAAATACGTCGGAATACTTTCTTCCTGTGGAGCTTTTAAACAGTAACATGGTATCATTCAATGTTTTTAGCTATCGCGTCTACTAAGGAAGCTAAGCTTTTTTTTTACGATGTCGTTCCCGTTGCACTGGCAGTAAGCAATCGTACACATCCAGAGTTTGCTGGTCAATCAATCTGGTCCGCGCACTGGCTGACGATAAGAGATGCGATAAACAAACTGACATTGTAACTGGTAGCGGTTTGAGGGGACATTGCTTGGAGCAGAAAGAGTAAATATGTATGTAAATAAAATGACAATACTAGAGTAAAAGCAACTCATTTTCGTAGGGTAGGATTGCAGGACTACGTAGTACTCTAGTTTGTAATTTCACTGGATAAACTGAAACTTCGGTAAATTGACAACCAAGTAGACTGGATCTGTTTTTCCAATAAGCCTTTCAAATTTTGATTCATAGATAAAGATTGGATCCACGACAATTATTCATTTGAAAATAAGGATATATTTGGTGTGCACCACACATCAACAATCTCGAATTTGTAGATAAAAAAAAATGCTACTTGTAGTCTAATTGGGATGATAATCGCCTCCCGGTACAAGGTTGCCCCCACCATCTCTTGTCATTTGTGCGCAATATGAATCCAGTATGCCCGCGTTTCCAGGACACGGTTTCGCGGTAGTAGCCCATCGATAAAAGTCACGAAAAACAAAGTGGTCTGTGCTCAACCGATGGCAGAAAGGTGCTGGATCGATTGGTGTTGGTTCAAGCAATGGCATCAAGATCTGGTGACTTGTACACGACAGCGACAAGCAAGAAATGCCCGCCAATATTAGTCTCGATGGCTATTGACAACAGTAACAACTGTCACAATTTGACGTCGGGTTTGCCTACATTTAAGGGTCTTTTAAATGAATAAAGACCCCTCGCCGAGCCAGAATGAGCAGCAATGTGATGGAAGACGAGCTGCAAGCTTAATAGCACATCGATTCCATAAGCAGAGAGAGAGAGAGAGAGAGAGAGAGAGAGAGAGAGAGATGCTTTTCGTCGTCATTGACACATCTTGCTCAAGCATCTGACATAAAATACTTTATTCGTTTTTTGAAATGAACACGCATCTTGAACAACCTAACGATGAAAATGACTATTTCGATGAAACTGCACGAAGGCGCAGAGCAAAATTAGCAGCTCCCCGATAAACTCTGTCCGAGGGCGTGTGACAGCATAGTTTCTTATTTCTAAGGTAGATCTGGACGTCCGACACCACCTTATGCGAAATCAACTCTAAACTGGCAAATATGATAATATCATATTGCAACCAAGGTTGTAGCAAAATTGGACTAGACACTATTTAATCTGGGGAGGACAGCTAGAAGAGCTGTATGGACAGACCCAGACAGATTAATTCGTCCCAGAAAAAGTTGGCTGTAGCACAAGTAACTTTCAGAGCGCATCGCGACACACAACTTAGTGATCACATATACAGCTGTTGTTCTAGCAAGCTTCTATTAGCTCCACCCCCGTATTGCCTCGCCAAATCTATGGCAGAAAAAAGAAGGAGGCCATCACCTGAATGAAAAGGCATAGCGAGGCTCCAGCCAAAGCGGCCCACCACTCCCACAACAGAAAGTATCTGCGGTACAGATTTGCTACTGGAGGAAGTGAGAAGGGGTCTATCAAACACGTCTTAAATAGGAGGTCACAAATTAATCCTATCTTCTTTTTCATGCCAAGGCAGGCGAAAGGATTGAGGTGTCTGATCACTGGGCTTCTATTTCAGCATCCATGAAGTGTAGACGACCTGTAACGCGGCTTTTTGACATCGCTGGAGAATCTTGACGACTCCACTCGGGTCTTGGTGTAGGCAATTTTGAAAGTTTTGACTGAGCCGATAAAACCGGTTAACTGAGTTTGCATGTCTCAGACTCGTTCAAGCCGTGTTGGATGTAATTCTATTGGTTTCAACGGGCCACTGGTGTTAGGTTTTTCTTGTCGAGTTTTTCTGATAAAAGAGTATATTCGGGTATGGCTGGATGAGACTTTGGAGACTTATCGTAGTTAAAACTACTACCGTGACTACACTGCCCAATATGACTTGAATTTCAGCGAGGCCACTATGAGGGTACTCGATGAGGACACTATTCGGGAATTTACGTTAGTGACCCTGTCTCCAATAAGAAGTTGGACAAAAAATAAAAGCCCTGCACATATTTTGGGCCCGCTCTAACAGTTGGTAATTAAACGACGGGCGAGGTAATATCGTTTCATCCGCCAATCCAGGTTTCTACTCCAGTCCATTTGTAGCGATAGATCTACTTTGCCTTCAGTGCGGACTGAAGTTAAGAAACGAATTCGTAATTTGTCTCTCGTCAGTATGTTCACCACATTTAGTAAAAGCGTCGACGATCCTGTCAAATAACATTTTTTGGATGTATCTGTAATTATTTGAAACCTAAGAGCGAATATTTTATATGCTAAATCGACGCTGATCCTGGGAAAGGGGGGCTTGATACCGATGCGTTTCATATTCGATATTATGGATATGGATTGGGTATTGAGCAGATGGCCACTTTGTACGATGCATTAATTTTCAGAAGTTGTTGTTAAATTTGGGTATACACGTAAGTGCCCAACCACGGGAACACCCGGAGCTCCACTCGTCAGTATACTGACGTGGAAAAAGCTGAAAAATACGTTAAAAGCCGAATTATATCTCCAGGAAGACGAGACCGTGGACGCCGAGAACTTTATCAACCGAGCGTCTCGTTTTATCCACAATGTGGAGGACTGGGCGCTTAAGTTGCACTTCCAAGTGTCCTACGCGCGTATTCTGGACTCGAAACGCAAGTTTTTAGACGCTGCGCTGCGTTACTATGAGTTCTCGCAGTCCAAACCAGACGAAGTGGACCCTGATGACTTGTTAGAGTTACTCAGCAAGGCTGTGACGTGCGCTATCCTGGCTTCTGCTGGCCCGCAGCGCTCTCGTCTGCTAGGTACGCTCTACAAAGACGAGCGTGTGAAGAACAGCGAGTACGTGGCGATTCTGGAGAAAATGTACATGGAACAATTGATCCGTCGGCCGGAGCTGGTGCAATTCGAGAAGAGCCTGTTACCGCATCAGAAGGCGGTGCTGTCGAACGGCTTTACGGTGTTGGAGAACGCCTTTTTAGAGCACAACCTGCTGGCTGCTAGTCGTGTGTATAGCAGCATTTCACTGGAAGAACTGGGGAAGCTGCTGGAGATCGAACCGGCCAATGCTGAGCGTGTTGCAGCGACGATGATTGGGGAAGACCGCATGAAGGGGAGCATCGACCAGCACTTGGGATTCCTGGAGTTTGAGAACACGGAAGACGAGGTCTTGGCGGCGTTCGATACGCGAATCAGCTCGCTGTGCTTCAATGTCAACCAGTGCGCCGAGCTGATTGAGCAGCAGTACCCGGATATTGTACGCTCGCTTGCTGCCACTGCGATGGCTACGGCCCCATAAAGGAAGCTTTGCTTGATTAACACCTTTTTTTTACTTTACGGAACGAAGCTATTCCAACGTATTTCGTAACCGCGTTGTTTTTGCGCTGAAACCGCAAGTCAAGCCTTCGTGCGAGGTTTCTTGGCTGCCATTTTGTCAACCCACTTATCAGAGGAGGCTGTGTCAGGCGCAGTCATGGCTGGCAACTTGGCTTGGTCGTTAGAGAGTCCATGGCTTCCTGTAGTTAGGATGATCACAACAGCGAGGAAGACGCCGTGCAAGCGCATTGATAATTTCTGTTCTGTTTGGTGGACCGAGTGTCGAAAGGCAAAACTCAAATGAACGATATACCAGTGAAAAAAAATTCCACCGATGAAGTGCGAAATGGTACGGTTCACGGGGCTGCTGGATTATGGTACACTTGCAGTAAACATAGTAACTTTTACAAAGT